TCACATTTTCCTGACTGGTTGTACTCACCTTGCCTCAAACACACACAAAGCAACCCATCCACAATCTCTTCCTAATTTTAAAAACTCTGTGGTTCCTATCCACCTGCACTATATTTACCATGACATTTATGGCCTAGGACATCAGTTAATTGTACAAAAAATGAAGAGATAGACAAAAAAGGTCCTGCAAGTTTCTTATGAATAATAATTCCCCTCATGAGCAATACTCCTTCATCTTGAAACCACTCCAACTCCCACAACAAAAGGGGTATGCAGGATCAAGTACATATTACTAGACCTCTCATTTTTTGTAGTTATCAATACCATCCTCATAAAAGCAGCATTGGAAATTATGCAAATATACATTGTACTAAAGACAAAACTCTTTGTCTTCCAAACACTGATGCTCATTTCCAGAAGGCACCCTTAGATAAATGCACTGAGTCTTCCTTTCAAAGGGTACACTGTCAATCTGTGCTTAGTGAATTTCACAGTATGCAAACAATGAATTCCAGCTCTCAAAAATCATTACTTATGAACTTTGTTTCAAAAAACACGGGCAAAGAATTAGTGAATAAGCTGAAGGTAAGCCAAAATCAGAACACTTGCTTGATTCATTGGTAACGCCTAATCTTCATCATGTAGCAGACAATGGAGTAGTCTACTTCCAACAGCAGAATTTTCTGGCTCTATATTAACATATGCTGGGTCAAACAATTGGACATGATAGTATAAAATGTAGCCTATCAAGTGCTGTCACAGAATTCAAACTATACTCGATTTTCTTGAGGAAGAATTCATCTTTTTAGGGAATAGTACAATATACCTTGTCACAAGAAATTCCAAACATTCTAAAACTTATAATAAACAAGATGTCATGTGAAACTACATAGGACTCATTTTTGCTTTGACTATCTAAAGGCCCAGTAATCTCTAATTCAGTTAACAGAATTCATAATTATTTAGTATATTTCATGCTATGAACACCTGTCTTTCCCCAAAATGTTGTCAGTGACAGGCAATATTTTAAGTTGTTTGTAAATTAACTTATTTTCCTATAGAAACAATACATAAATCTTAGTTCTCTAGGTTAATCCCACAAAATCCTACTTAGCCTGTAGTGTACTTTTAACACATACCAGTTGCACTGTACAAATCACAACCGATATATAGAAAAAAGGTTTCTATGAGGAAATGAATTTAGAGTTTCAATCTGGTAGACTAAAAGAATTGAACCAAGGGTTCTGAAGTAAGGAGCTGGAAAAGGACTCAGGACCCATAGTAGAGGTAAGGCAAAGGGAAACGGTAAGAAAGCGGGGATAGTTACTAATACTAGTTAGGAATGACCCTCCATTACTCTCTATTCTTTCACCTGGGACATGATTTATCCTCCTTTTCTTTGCCTTTCCTCCTGTTACTGAAAACTGATACTATGTGTAGGTTAAAGGTGATGATGAAGACAAATGTCTGGGGTCATAGGAAGAACAGTAGAAAAATATTTTCTTTCTTACCTCTCTTATGAGACTTGCACTAAGTTTTGAGAGAGGGAATAGCAGGATGATAAAACATAATTCCTCCCCCAACCATCTCTTCTTCTCCTGCCAATCAGTGTTTTATGCTGATGGGTAGAGACAAGGGCAAGAAGGCTTTGTCCTCCATCCCCCCAGTCCACTACAAACCCCACAGCCTACTAATTTTTTGCAATGGGATGAAGGTCCCTGTAGGTATCATCTACAGCAGCCAGAAAGCAGCAAAAGGAGAAGTCGCAGCTAGGTGGCACAGTGGATAGAGTACCAGCCCTGGATTCAGCAGGACCTTCTGAGTTCAAATCCGGCCTCAGACATATAACACTAGCTGTGTGACCCCGGGCAAGTCACTTAACCCCCAATGCCTAACAATAAAGAAAGAAAGAAAGAAAGAAAAAGAAAGAAAGAAAGAAAGAAAGAAAGAAAGAAAGAAAGAAAGAAAGAAGAAAGAGAAAGAAAGAAAGAAAGAAAGAAAGAAAGAAAGAAAGAAAGAAAGAAAGAAAGAAAGAAAGAAAGAAAGAAAGAAAGAAAGAAAGAAAGAAAGAAAGAAAGAAAGAAAGAAAGAAGCAAAGGGAGAATGAAACACTTGGCAATAGTAAAAAGAAAAGTGGAATTTCTCCAGGATGTCCTGGCTAGGGCAATCATTTGTAAGGAATTTAAGTTGTATGAATAAGTTAGGTACTAAAAATCTAAACTTGTCTGTCTTTAACTCATAAACAAGTATACATGAAATATACTTTATGTAGTCTCAAGGAATCTTTTCATAGATACCTATTTAATGTTTTAAATTTCCAACCACTCTGGAGAATAATTCAGAATTATGCCCAAAGCGCTATAAAACTCTACATATCCTTTAACTCAGCAATACTATTACTAGGTCTGTATCCCAAAGAGACAAAAGAAAAAGGGAAAGAAGCTGTGTATAAAAATATTTATAGCAGCACTTTCATGGTGGCAAAAAACTGGAATGTCCCTCAACTGGGGAATGGCTGAACTAATTTGTGGTATATGATTGTGATGGAATATTATTGTGCTGTAAGAAAATATGAAGGGAATGGTTTCAGAAAAACTTGAAAGACTCATATGACCTGATACAAAGTGAAGTGAGCAGAACCAGGAAAACACTGGACAAAGTAAGAACAATAGGGTAACAATGTTGAATTATAACAACTGTGAAACTCAGTTACTCTGATCTATACAGTAATCCATAATTCCAAAGGACTCACAATGAAAAATGCTATCCACCTCCAGAAAGAACTGATCAACTTGGAGTGGAGATTGAAGCATACTTTTTTCCACTTTATTTTTCTTGAAGTTTTTTCGGGGGTCTACATGGCTAACATGAAAATGTTTTGCACAACTTTGTATGTATAATGGTTATCATATTGCTTGCTTTTTCAATGGGCAGGGGAGGAACTGGAGAGAAGAGAATTTCAAACTCAAGACTTAAAAAAAAGTCCATTTCCCCCCTAAATTTTTTGTGTAATTTCTCCTCTCATGTTGTGAATCTCTCCCCAGTCATCTTTGCTTTATTCAGTATTAGAATCAAATTATTGTTGTTGTTCAGTAGCTTTCAGTCATGTCCAACTCTGCATGACCTTACATGGGATTTTCTTGGCAAAGATACTGGAGTGGTCTGCCATTTCTTCTCCAGCTCATTTTAAAGATGAGGAAACTGAGGCAAACAGGGTTAAGTGAACTGCCTAGGGTCACACTGTTATTAAGTGGCTGAGGCCATATTTGAACTAAGGAAGATGAGTTTTCCTGATTCCAGGCCCAGTACTCTATCCACAGTACCACCTAGCTATAAACTAGTCCAGCAGGAAATATAGAAACCCTATTTAACAAAATGTCTCTTTCTTTCACTCCTATAATAAAAAGCATTTTATTTCTTGGTTTATCTTTTGTTGGTTAAATATCCACATCCTACCTGTAGCTATAAAAGCGATCTTTTTAATTTTTTCATGGTATCTAATATTCAGATAGCATATCTACTTTTAGCTGATTTGTGGTATATGGTATAAGATGTTCGTCTATACTTAACTTCTGTCTAACTGCTTTCCACTTTTTTCCAGGAGGCCCTGTCAACCGGCTAATTCTTTCCCAAGTAATTAATGATAAGTTCAATTGTATCTAATTTTTAATGACCTAGTCCCTAACATTGACCTAAATTTTCTATTTTTTAACCAATACTCTATATGGGGTTGCAAGGGCTATTACCCCTCATTCCTATTCCCCCCTCCCCCATAATTTCCCTTAGGATTCTAGAGCTCTAGTTCCTGCAAATAAGTTTTACATTATTTGGTCTGGCTCCATAAACCAGTCCCTTGATGACTAATATAACACTAAATGTATAAATTATTTTAGGTAGTAGTTATTTTTATTACATTGGCATATCCTAGTCAAGAACATCGACTATTTCTCTTTAGGTGCTTTGTAATTATTACTTTACAGGTGGTTAGGTAAGCCATAGTGGACTGATTCAGATATTTTATGCATTTTGTAGTTAGTCTGAATAGGAGTTCTGTTTCCATTATTTCCTTCTGGATTTTGTTATTGCCACATAGAAATGCTACTGACTTATATGGGTTTTATTTTGTGTCCTGGTTGTTTACTGTCACTACTATTACAATTAGGTTCTTTGCTGATTTTCTAGGGTTTTCTAAGTAAACCATATCATGCAGTTTTATAACTTCATTGCTTATATTTATGTTTTTAATATCTTTCCTAGTTTTACTGCTATTGCTAGCATTTCTTTAACTATGTCAAACAACAGCAGGAGGAAATGGCAACTATATTTAATTCCTGTATTTACTGTAAAGCTTCTGGTATTTCTCAACTGAATATAATAGTAGCATTTGGTTTTAGATACTTTTTTCATGTTTGTTTTTTTTAAAAAGTGTGAATGGATAAAGTTTAATCAAATATCTGATAAGACGTCAGAGATATCTTCTCACTCTAAAACCAAGCTATAAAGGAATTAACACAAATAGATATTACTTGCAGTTCTTCAAACAGGGCACTACAGTGTGTCTGCATTATCTGGACCCGTACCTGAAGAGTTTGTTTTGTCTCCTCACCGCTTTCTCTTAGTTTCTTTAACTTCCTTCAAGACTCAAACACAAATCTCTGCAAGAGGCCTTTCTGGTTCTCCCTGCAACTAATACTGACCCCTCTCAGACTGCAATCTAGTTACTTCCCTGTTAGAATGTAAGCTCCTTGAAAGAGGGACTGTATTTGCCTTTCTTTGTAACTCTAGTCCTAAGCACAGTGCTGGTACATAGTAGATGCTTAATAAACACTTTTTGACTTGGACAAGAATTAATCAATAAACAACATAAATTTGTTACTGACAATACAACAGCAGCAGCAGCAGTAGAAAACATTAAGACTGTCCAAACATATAGTAATAATTCTCTGTAATAAGCATTGGGTACAAAACAGAACAAAATAATTCCAATTTCACAGACTTACCTTAGCAGTAGTTCCTTGGGAAGCTTTTTATTGATCACAGCTTCATCATTGTTTGAGAACATCTGGGGGGAAAAAAGAATGTAAAGTTCTACAACTTTTAGAAACTCTACTCTGCTCATATAGTAGAAATTCTTTTAAGAATGAAGTCAGAAAAGTAACCCAAGACAAAACAGTATTTTTAAATCCATCCCTCTTCCAAACTTCCTTAGATCCATGAAAACTATTACCATCCTGTCAGTCACTCAGATTCCTAACCTTGGAGTCATCCTTGTGTTCTGTCTCCTTTATTCCCCTCATCTAATCAATTACTAAATACTGTTAATTCTATTTCTTATCTGTCCTCAGGTCTCTATTCACACACCTACTTTCTCACATACTATACCAACTTCCCTAGGTCAGAGTCTCTCATCTGGAGACCAGCCTCCAAATGGTCTCCTTGCTTCAGTTCTACCTTCCCCTTTCAATGAGGTTCTTTCTACAGCTACCACATTGACCTTTATAACAAAAAAAATAAAATAAAGAAATCTGACAACGCTACACCCTTCCTAAAAATCTTAAGTAGTTCACTCCTCAGCATGGCAATTTGGCTCCCAATTAATTACCTTGCTAGTATTACTTCATATAATTCCCCTTCCTACACTCTCAGTTTCCCCCTGCAAGGTTTATTTCCTGTATGGAACAGTCAATCTCTCCCCTCCAGGCCTTTGCATAAGACATGCCTGCACAACCTTTGCCTGTCAAAGGATTTCCTCTACATACAAAGGATGTTTTCCTCTACATTTTTCATTGGCCACCTGAAATCCTTGTGTAGACCTGGCATAAGAGATTCCTTCATATCTCTAAAATGCACTAACTCAATAGTTCCCAAACTTATTTGGCTTACCACCCCCCTTTTCAAAAAAAAAAAAAAACTCAGCGACCCCTAGAAACCCTTCAATGGATTTTTTAACGTGTGTCATTTCAAAAATATATAATGTTTGAAATGACACTAATTTAATATTTTATTGTAAATTTGCAGGTTTTTTTCCTGCATTGACGTTTTGATGATGCAATACCGGGGGGCATATAACCATATAGTATCATATTGTAAACAAGTCATTACATGCACATCTTCCTGCTAGACTTCCATACAATGAGCTACCTGCTTGCCTACCAACACTTGCTTGTTAAGACCTGTTGGCTGGCTTGACCATTGACTGGGCTATAACTTGCATTTTGTGTTTTTATTTAGAAAATAACGTCCTAATCATGACTTTAACTGTCACAACAGGTGACGTCTGAATGGTTTTCCAAATTTTTCTTATCTTCTTTCCTTATGCTGACACTATCCCCTTATTTTTATTAAACACCTCCCAACTGCACTTGAGGCTGCTACCACCCCCCCATCTTCTAGTCCCCCAGGGGGCAGTATTGCCCACTTTAGGAACTTGTGCACTGACTCCTCAATTCTACACCATACAATTCATGTATCACTTCCTACCCAGTACCTTTCTTGGCACATATGGTCTTAAGCTGTTAGCACTGTCTAAGGTTATTTTGTATGACTGTTGACATACTTGATATTTATTTTTGTACGTGCTGTATTTCTTCAGTAAAATATAAGCTCCTTCACGGAAAGTATTCTTTCACTCATTTAGTTTTACTCCTAGGACCTAGAAGTAGTAGTTTAATGTTTGTGAGTTTTACTTAAAATCACTCCCGAAGCTAAAGGATTACTCAAGGTCACTTAAAACATCATAAATCCTGGAAAAGAAAATCCCTACAGTGGGAACAACCACAAAAAAACTAACCTAATTTAAGATATCTTTAAACATCTCTCATATTTAGCTTATTATCTATAAAGCTTCCATTAATGGTATGAATCTTTTAAAAACTTGGAGGGAAAGGAAGCGTCTTTTTCAATGCCTTTTACAGCCTACGGTACAAACTGATCTACATAAGTCATTCCTATCAGGAATGGACAGCCTCAAGTCAGAACCATCACTGTTGCTAGAGAAAGTCTGTGGCTTAGTTGCCTTAGCAAACCAGGGATAAAAATATATAACCAAGAACCCAAACACTGGAAAATCTCTAAAGGAAGTTAGCTGAAAAAGACTTGTTCTTATTACTGAAATGAAATTAGGAGACTAATTTTTCTACTTTATTAAAATAGTACTTTCAGCATTAAGTTTGCTCATATTAACTAGCAAAATGAATCTTCAATGCCTGGCTAAGAAGTTAACACATCAGCTGACTTGCAATGAAAAACCACCAAAACATCCAAGCAGAAATTACTAAGTAACTATGCGTAAGGCACCAAAGGTTTTCACAGCAGGGCAAAATGATAAAAGCTGTCTTTTAGGAGGATTAGCTGGGGAGCAGTTACGTAGCAGAAATGGAATAGGAAAAGACTAGTTAAGCAGGAAAATATTTCAATAGCCCATGGCAGAGTCACCACTGGGTGGTGGCAGAAAGAATGAATAAAAGAGAACACAAGAGACATGGTGAAGGAAAAATAACTTAGTGACTGATCAGAAGGCAGAAAGAAAGGAATGAATCAAAGATGCCTACAAAATTCAATTTCAACACTAAGTTAGGAGAATAGTTCATGAATAGTTAAGTTAAGAAGAGATGGTTTGGGGGTTTTGTGGGGAAAGGAAGGAAGGACCAAGTGTTGTTAAGACCACTAAGATGAGAGTAAGAAGACTGTGTTCCAGCCCCAGGCACTGTAACTCTGGAAAAGTCACAAATAAGAAGTCAGAAGAGAATTACTTGTTGGTAGAAATGGAAGGGGATGTGTGGCTGTCTGCATAGATATGATAGCTCGTTTACATGAGTAAATGAGCTCTATAAAGGAACAGACAAGAAAAGCAAAGACTCAGGACACCCAGCTAAAATCTGGGAAGGAATCAGGAGAAAGAAACAGAATGGTTAGCAAGACAGGTAGATAATTAGCAGTATGTGTGACAGAAGCCAAAAGAACAGTTTCAAGGAGTAGATAAGTGCCCAATGTCAGAGAAAGATCAAGACAAAGGCCTCTGCATTTGGCAAAAAGGTTAGGGGCATCCAGAGAAAAAACAGTTTTACAAGAGTAGTGGGGGTAAAAACCAGATCATAGGAGGTTAAGAAGGGAATTCATTCCAATACAAAAACATTCATTTACTGTGAAAGAATATAAAGATGAAAAACAACATAACTGCTGTCTTCAAAGAACTTACACACTAGTAGAAACAGTCATATACAAATATAACTATAAAACAAATTTTAAAATAAAAATATGAAACATAAAATTAGAATGGCCTGAGAAACACAAGACTTATTCTTGCTAAGAAGGGATGGGGGCAGGGGGAGGAGGAAGCCTGGACTACTGGGGAAAGGATGGTGCCACCAGTAGAAACAGGGAAATTAGGAGGAAGATTTAAGGCAATCATAATTTCAGTTTTTGACACGTTGAGTGTCCAACAAAGTATTCAAGTAAAGAGCTTTCTTTTATGAGATAGGATAGGGAAGGGAAAATACTTGTGAACTGAAAAAATAAAATAAAAAAAAAAAGCTTCACGGGGGACAGCTAGGTGGATAGAGGACCAGCCCTGAAGTCAGGAGTACCTGAGTTCAAATCCAGCTTCAGACCAAACACTTGACACTTACTGTGTGACTCTGGGCAAGTCACTTAACCCCAACTGCCTTAAAAAAAAAAAAGCTTCACGGTAAGATAGATGAAACCATTCTAATGAAATTATATACAAATGAAATTTTATGTGAAAAGGTGATGAGAATCAATTAAGACATGCCTATGATCATAGTCAATTCCAAGGTAATTTCAAATACACTGAGCTAGTTGAATTTCTAATTTTAAAATGAGTTAGCCACATTCAACAGCCCCTTCTGATGAGTGTATATTCCTAAACATTTAGATTTTTAAAATCCCGGTGACTTGGTCTGTTTTGGCACTTGACTGTTGCTCTGTGTAAAACTATAATCATTTTCCCCCTAAATTAGATGATTGAGGAATAAATATGACTTTCAAACCTCTAGTTCCAAAAAGACTGAAATTGTCCAAGTGAGATTCTAAATACTATGAAGCAACTTTTTAAAAAATATTATGTCTTTGTGATAATTTGTTTGACACACTCAACTCTAACTATAATAAAGCATTTCTATAATCTAGTTTACAAACTTAAAAATTACCAAGCAGAAAAATAAGACCTGAGGGACCAAGCCAATTGTCATTTATGCAAATGAAGTCTGAAACCAGGGTCTGGCTGGAAATGTGGAGGTTGATAGACTGGGCAAAGTAGGGGAAAAATAAATATTCATTTGCTCAGTGAATAAGCATTTTTATGAATAAGTAAATAATTTTTAAGTATCCTCACTATCTCTCCATCACACCTCCCCATATCCAAAATCTGCTGCCAAGGCCTGTCCATTTCACCTTTGCAACACCTCTCCAATACAAGTCCTCCTCTCTTCTGACACTACCATCACTCTAGTGCAGGCCTTCATCACCTCACACCTGGACTATTTCAATGGCCTGTCTCAGGTCTCTTCCTACTCCAATCTATCCTCCATTCAGTCACTAAAGTGATTTTCCTAAAACACAGGTCAGATCAACTCAATCACCTCCCCACCCTCCAAAACACACACACACACACACACACACACACACACACACGCACGCGCGCGCACGCTATCTCTCTTTCTCTCCCTCTCCCCTCATCAAATACAAATGCGGTGTTTGGCATTCAAAGATTTTCATAATCTAGCCCCCTCCTACCTTTCCAGGCTTCTTATACCTGAAGATCACCATTGGCTCTCTGGCTATTCCAGAAACAAAATATTTTATCTTTTGGTTCCAGGCATTTTCTCTGGCTCTTCTGGCATGGAACACTCCCTTGTCCACTCCAACTACAGAGTTCCCTAGCTTAGGTACCAACTTAAATCCCACCTTTTAAAGAAAATTTTCCCAAACTCCTCTTAATTCTAGTACTTCCTCTCCATTTATTTCCTATTTATCCTGCATATAGCTTGCTTTGTATATATTTGTTTGCATGTTATCTCTTCCATTAGGTTTTAAGTTCCTTGA